GCTAGAGTTGGAGCAAACTTGTGCTGAGGCGAGGATGCCATGTCCCAGGTACGAAGCAGTCCCGGCAAAAGCCAAGATTCTGCAGACGAAGCCCCTCATCGTCACTGCAACGTTGTTACCGGCGGACGACAGAAACGAAGGAGGCGAGGGTAGAAATGAAGGCAAGGTTGTCTCCACGAGAGGTAAGGCGAGCAGTATCAACAACGGCAGCACCACATGTTGCAATGCAGGAAATCGGTGCCTACTTATCCTTGGAGCCGGTGGTGTTGGTGATATCCCGCCTGGGCGGAGACTGGCATGTTGTGCTATCGCGACTTTACCCATTGTTCCTGGATCTGGTTCCTGGTTTTCTGCCCGAACGGCATGCCGATCGACAGCTGCATGGGGTCCGGCAGTCGGGGTTGCTGGTGGCTGCGTGACGGAACCAGGAATTGTCAAGAGTGGTGGTTGGGATTTTCAATTCGGACCATGTGCGATGGCGTCGTCGACTCCTCTAAAGTCTAGTCGCTGGTCCACCTTCCCGATTGGGGTGAGCTTCACTGCGACGGGCGAGTGGCGGCACCACATTCTTATCGTCGGCGCGGGGTGCGACACCGAGTGCCGGTCTGGCTGTTACTCACCGACTTCAGTCACCGGTAACGACTGTCCATATCTTTACGTGACGGCTACCACGCGAATGCAGACTCCGATCTGGGGGAAATTTTTCTCGAGTTCTGGGACAAATCGACGCCGCATCGTCATCTGCAGGTCCAAGTGTGCTTTCAAGTTTGCTAAGATGCCATGATCCCAAAGTACGGGATCAATCGTGCCGACAGATACCAGAAGTATGGTTCGATTGTCGTGAAAACTGCTTAGTTTAGGATCCTCGATTGGTATCGCAGTCGATTCTCTCGCATCATCATGTGCACATCGGATGTCGCTTGTTAGCGGGATGCATCAGTAACGAATTGAGCATTGCGGTCTATCGACTGGGGCACCTGACGACTGCTAGCACGGACAGTGAGGCGACAGAAAGAGCAGACGGCGAGAGAGGAACTTCACGGTACCGGGAGAGCAAACGCGACCCAACGGGGGGGACGTCACATCTCGCCACAACCAGTGAGCCCCCCTATCCTCACAGAAGCACAAGCGGTTCCATCGATGCCTCGACCTCTTCAGCCGTCAATCCAGTAACGGACGGCGAGACTCCTCCCCCCTCCATAACGCCATGGAGGTACGTCCCTCCAACCAGTCGATGGCGGCCAGGAGAGGACGAATCCCCTTTCAGTCGCCATAGTATCAACGGCACTCGCGAACCAGGAACAATCCACACTTCGTCTCCAGGCCCAAGACACTCCGTTCCGAGTCCGAGGTAGCCCTTGTCCGTCCTAAACAGCCGGAGGCACCGGCAAAACACATAGGGCTCATCGAACGCCGTCCAACTGGCTGCCTCGCGAGCCTCCCTGTCCCAGATACCGTCGAGCATGGCGGCGAAGCGCTTAGCGCGACTCAACCACTCCCGACCGAGTCCGTCCTCAAGCTTGATCTGAGAACCGTGATAGTCTAATCAGACAAAGAACCGTTTGGCGAACGGAGCGCCGAGGGGGTGGCTGCCTTTCGGAAGGAGCTGCGGCGGGTAGCCAGCCGTGTTGGCTATGAGGGTGCGCCAGAAGCCGTTGAGCTTGCGCTCTTCTTGCTTGGTGTTGACCATGTAGGTAGTGGCAAGCGAGTCGAAAATATGCAGCCATCCGACGCATGGCTCACCGCGTATATCTTGTCGCTTCCTCTCGCCGACCATTGTGATATCATCCAGCTCAATGCCTTTCAAGCCCAGGGCTGGTTTAAGCCTGTCAATGGATGGCTTCTGGCTCAAGGGCCCGGACGCAGAGTACATTTCATATCCCACCCTATCCAGACCGGTAGGTTCCCTGGCGCTCCAGTCAGGAACCCATGAGGACCGCCGTCCGGTGGTCTTTTTCTGGAACAGCTCTCCTTCCACTTTCGAGAGTAGTAGCAGGTCACCTCCACTATCTTCGATTATCTCGATTGCAGTGTTGATGTAGATACGGCTGGTGGTTGGTTGTCCCCTAGTTCGTATGCGGGAGCGAGTTCCGGTTTGGACGCAACATATCCTTGGGCAAGTCCCAGGACAGAGTCCACTTTATCGCGAGGGTCGATTTCTTTGGCGGCACGAGCTTTGAGAAGTAAGTGCAGAAAATACCGTGCCCAGTCCTGACGACTTTGCGCGTTGAGGGTCATACGGGGTTGTTGCCTGTGGACGACGTTGCCAACGGAATGAAGAATCGTCGGAGGCTGATATCGGAAGACGATGTAGTCCCCCAATTCCGTTGGCTGTACGATTCTCTCGGATAGCTCACTCGACAAGCTGCCGGTGTTCAGATGGCGGATATAGAACTGTCACAGTGAGGTCGAGAAGAGATGTGCCGCCCCGGATATAGCAGACCACTCCAGCTCGTGAGGGCCGCAGAAGACCTTCACTGCTTTGGCCAAGACCAGTTCCTGGATTATCCAAGCCCTTCTGAAGTAGGTAGGTGCGCAGGAGAATGTTTGCACGGACTGAATTGCCCTGACGCCACCAAATCCTTGGAGGTCCTCACCGAAGACAATGTGGCCAGACAGTCCAGTAGATGAGGCGAGTGGTCGGATACCTTCTTGAGCTTCGGAAGGAATGCGAAACCTGGTTGGGTATGCGTACTCTCCGGACCCAACTATGCGATGACCATATTTGCCGAGCTGGAGATGTCGGCCATGACCCTCACCTGGTCGCTCCGTTCCACGGCATTCTGCTGGTCAACGCAGATAGCGTCAATCCAGAATGATTTGGTGTTGACGGATGGCAGGTGCTATAGTCGCCAGAGGAACGTGCAGAGGTTCGCCGTCACGAGGAGAACCACGCCGTTGCAGAGGATTAGTTGGTCGGGGAGATCGGTCATGGCATTCAACGGAGGGAGTTCAGAAGGCGCGCCCCAGGTGTATGGGAGACAATAGTACTCTGGTCGTTGATCCAGATCAACGACCTGAAGACTGCATTCGACGGGAGGAGCCAGATGCTCCGGTCGGCCCGAGACTGTGAGCAGCCGGATCTGGCGGTTTCCGACCTGTAGGGCATTCACGGTGTAAAGAGTCGCCATTGCGAGGTTGCTGTTCGGACCGTCGATTCAAGGTAGGATTCAGGTGAGAACGAGGTGATGTTGAGGCCTGAACGTGAGTCCTGTAGTCCTGAAGAGTTTGGACTCGGTGCTGTCGACCAAATTGGTGGCCAACGCATAGTAACCGTTGTGGCTTCTGAGGCAGCAGGGCTCGCGGGAAGTGGTCCAGCGTTGGTGAATATCGAGATGCCTTGGCATCATTGATGGTGACTGTGGCGGCTGTTGACAGCCACTATGTCAGTAGATCTTTGAACTCCAGGCAACATAGCATCGGCGGGTTGTTAAGTGCGGAAACACCAGGTTTGAGTATGTGAGATAGAGGGAGGAAATTGGATTGAGCGACGGGGGATAGGTTGGACAGTCCAGATAAGGTACGTGAAATCAAGATCGCAAGGGTCTTGGCACGATGATGGGCGTGGACGAGTGTAAACATGAACGGTAGGCACGAAGCAGAGATGCCAACAATCTCCGATGGACGCTTTTCTGTATTCCAGTTTGCCAGCCAAGGCCACAAAGCATCATAGTGTACAGAGAACATCGCTTGCCAGGTAATCCCATTCGCATCATATGTCACACCCCGTCATCTATCCACCCAGATCAAGCGACCAGTCGCCTATCCTGCCTCCTCGGCATCCTATCTCTGCCCAGCCAGTCGTCTAGCCTGGACCTCGCCCAGTGCCTTCGTTCCACTCAGGACAGTCACCGCCCCAACAACCCCAATCCACGGCAACACCTTGAAGAGGTTCCACTTGCTGTAATACAGGAAGAAGACGGACTCCATAGCCACGATCGAGCCGAGGAAGGCGGCGTGGGACAGGGGCGCGTTTCCGAGCGCCGTGGTGAGGTGGTCGACGTTCGCGCCGAGGGCGATCCAGCCGATCAGGAGAGCCGGCACGGTCGCCATGACAGCCAGCACGAATACCAGGGAAACGATCTTGGGCGGACTCTTGGGATCGGCCTTGAAGATGTGGTGGATCTCGGGCTGCTTGCCGTACCGGATCGGGGCGTCGTAGGCCGGTGCGGGCGCGTTGGAGTCGAGCTGGAGCGCAAGGTCGAAGAGGTGCGTGTTCAGGCCGTGGGCGGAGCCGAAGGAGCCGACGACGATGGAGGCTTGGAGGGGCTTGCTGGCGAGGAGGAGCTGGACGGGGATATCCTTCTGGGACTGCGATGCGTTAGCCTCACTGGGTCAAGGTGGTAGGAAGAGCGAGGTTGGTTGACGAACAATCTGGGTGACGGCCTTGCCGGTATCCTTGGTCGTCAGAGGGAATGGCGCCTCGAGGCCGGAGTCGACGTCCTTCAGCACGACAAAGGCCTGGTGCGGCCGCTTCCCCTTGCCATTGTCCTTCGCGGTAACGGAGATCTTGATGGTATCGGCGCTGCCGAAGTTGATGGCCTTCGAGAGGGGTTTCTTAGCATTCAGCCTGCGAACCATTGTTAGCAACTGGCCCAACAGGCGCGAATGCTGATGGCAGCCTACTTCTCCTTCAATCCGTCGCCAGCCTTCTTGGACACGACAGAGACGGTGCCCTCGTCGAAGCTCCAGGACGAAGCTGCCTCGGCGACACCAGCTGCCAGAAGCAGAGCTGCTGAAAGGACCGACTTGGAGAAATGCATCGTTGCTGCGGTGTGGTCGTTATGGGAGGCGCAACAGCGGTGGTTGTTAAAAGGAGACGAGGCTGAAAGTTGCTTTGCTGTCGGTCCAAACTCCAAAGAACACTTGTTCCTGAATGATGCGCCAAGACCGGATTACGTGGGGAAAGCTGTTAGCGTTAGAGCTTGGGCCACCCTGTGTTTCATTGCAGCCCACCCTGCACGATATTTATTACAGAAGTTGGCAAAATTCCAACAACTGGGAAGATGGCCGAGCGGTCTAAGGCGCTACGTTCAGGCTGAGATCCAGCAATGGGTACCATCCCGAATTCGTAGTCTAGTAATAGGCGTGGGTTCGAATCCCACTCTTCTCATGTTTTTGCATTTTTGCTATTTTAATTCCTTTCTGACCAGCCTGTGAATGGAAATGAAGACGTCAAATGCCTCTTGTCCGAAATGTTTCTTTTTGAACTGGTTGCAAAGCCCTCGGTCCTTACCATGCTTAGTTTTCGACTGGACCTCACATTCGGAAAAAGGGGGCAGCAACAGCAACCGTCACAGCAACACTACCTACCACCCCTCCCACCACCACCGCCGCCGGAGCACCACCATGGCACTAACACGAGATAGCAAAATGACAAAAAGATATGGACCATCGCTGATCTTGCGCTATGCCCGCTACCAGAATTGAACTGGCGACCTCATCATACCTGATCGAGCAGGGGTTACTAGTGATGCGCTCTACCACTGAGCTAAGCGGGCTTTATGAAGGGATGATGCTTCGATGGAGATGGAGGCGGTCTGGAGCACATAAGAATGCTAGGGGCCCTTGGCAAGCAGAAATTTTCGGACGAAGGACACGACTCGTGCGGCTCCAATCTCGGGTTCCTGGATCCATCCCGCGTTGGCACATGCAGCACGTGGAATTCCAACACGGATACTGTGGGTTTTGCTGTGGGCGGTGTGGACGGTGGGCGAAGAGTGTGGATGGAGCGTTGAGACGCGACAGTTGCTGGTCAGTAAGTGTCGAATACAGGGTCGGCTCCGAAGTCGCAGAACTAAGAACAACAAGTGCGGCAGCACTTAGGTAGATGCATAAGCAACACACTGGTGAGCTTGAAGATTCGCCATGCTGTGTCGGACGTCATTCGGTGATGGAAGTGAATCTCTGGTTAATTCCGTGTCGACAGCCGAGCCTCCGAAGACCCTGAATCGATTATTCAGCAAGCGGTCCGGCAATACAGCCCCTGGCACGTGCGCTCCCGATCTTTGGTGCCCCTGCAGCGGATCTGAAAATGTTCGACGGCAAGCGCCGATCGTCTGCGATGACACTCCGAAGTCATTGATCCCTCAAAATTTGGAATCCATAGACGCGTCAAGAACGATTAGAAATCCTGTCTTTTTCTCGTCAGCCCACGGACGACATCACCAACCCCTCGAACATACTTAAACCTTCTGCATCCGATCAACTGTCTACGACGTCAATTCACAAAATCGCAACGCTGTTTTCCTCAAAGCTTAGACACACTCTCCGCGCCGGCGCATCTGGTCTCTCAGTTGCCGCGATAGCAACTGCCACCAAACAAAACACGACCCGCCCTACCGAACTACAAGCCATTGGCAAGAGGAGCATGCACAGCAAGATCGTCATCATCGGCTCCGGGCCGGCCGCCCACACGGCGGCCGTCTACCTCGCCCGCGCCGAGGTGAAGCGTAAGCAACGCCCCCGTCTGCCCCCCGCCGCGCCCTCAATCTTACAGTCAAACTAACACTTTTGTCTCCATCTAGCCGTCCTGTACGAGGGCTTCATGGCCAACGGTACCGCCGCCGGAGGGCAGCTCACCACCACGACCGACGTCGAGAACTTCCCCGGCTTCCCGGACGGCATAATGGGCCAGGAGCTGATGGAGCGCATGCGCAAGCAGTCGGAGCGGTTCGGCACCGAGATCATCTCGGAGACCATCGCCAAGCTCGACGTCACGTCGAGGCCCTTCAAGTACTCGACCGAGTGGAGCCCGGAGGAGGAACACACCGCCGACGCAGTCATCATCGCCACCGGCGCCTCGGCCCGGAGGTTGGGCCTGGCCGGCGAGGAGAAGTACTGGCAGAACGGCATCTCGGCCTGCGCCGTGTGCGACGGCGCCGTGCCCATCTACAGGAACAAGCCGCTCGTTGTCATTGGCGGCGGCGATTCGGCGGCAGAGGAGGCTATGTTTCTGACGAAGTACGGCAGCCATGTTACCGTGCTTGTGCGGAAGGATAAGCTGAGGGCTAGCACGATTATGGCGAGGAGGTTGCTGGCCAGCCCGAAGGTCACGGTCAAGTTCCACACTGTCGGTGTGGAGGTTAAGGGCGACGATAAGGGGCTGATGAGCCAGATGGTTGTCAAGAATGTGGTCACTGGCGAGGAGGAGACGCTCGAGGCGAACGGTCTGTTCTACGCTATTGGCCACGATCCGGCGACATCTCTCGTCCGGGGACAGGTCGATATGGATTCGGACGGATATATCCTGACCAAGCCTGGCACCACATTTACGAGCGTTGAGGGTGTGTTTGCTGCTGGCGATGTGCAAGATAAGCGATACAGGCAGGCCATTACCAGTGCAGGTCAGATACTTATTCCTCCCCCTTTTGCAACGACATGACGCTAACTTTGTGCCACAGGATCTGGATGCATGGCTGCCCTCGAGGCGGAGAAGTACCTAGAAGATCTGGAAGATCTGCCAGAATCAGAGGTCGAAGCCAAGAAGGGCAACCTCTGAGTTGGTGTGTGTTTGCTTCCTTGATAGACAAGATTTAGCGACAATGCATATAGAGAGCGTCCAGCTGTTATGACTGAACTTGGCCTTTGAATACTGATTGGCGCCTATTAGGACCTCTCACTGACACATCAGAAACTGGAAGTTGGAAGCTGTTCCCCCAAATTTCACGACATTAGCATCTTACAGTCGACCTCTCACGTCCGCTCTTGGACGCCAAATTATGTTTACGAGGGCCAACAAGCACACATTCGACCCCGCGCGTGGGTTGCTCGAATCCTTGTTACTGTGCTGATAAGTTGTCGAGGATCGCCTTGTTTCCGAGTCTTCTATCTCCCCGTCGAGGATCTCTACAACCTCTTCATCCACTACACCTTCTTCACTTTGGCATCTTCTGCGTCCTTCTGGAGGCCTCGATATCGCCTCGGTCCAACACTCTCCAGCAGTTCCTGCAACAGCCAGCGATTTACATTTCTGCTTGCCGTGTTCTGAGTCAAGTCTGAAGTCTACCCGACGTTTTACTCGATGAAATGCAAATCCGACCATCTGCCTTGTCCCGCGGGACCGAACAAGATGTCTGACGTCACCTGGATGTCCGCCTGGCACATAACGTGGAGATCCGGCATCAACAGCAAGGTACCAATACCACCGCATCTCAGCCCAACCAACGACTCTGTGTCTGACATTTACCCTGGCAGGGAGTTCACTTCTGTTCCTTCGACTACGGCCCTCGAACCCCGAAACAAAACATTTATCTTTATTACAACGAGTAAGCAAGCATCTACATGCCGCCCCGCTAAGCGCCGTAATGAAAAAAGTATCTCACTGTGCACTGGATCGCTAAGAGCTGCTGCCCAGGGACGGCTCCTGGTTCTTCAGCAACCCGGACGGGAGCACATACTACAACGACGCAAAGGATTCGAGCAGTTCGTCCCGGCGCCGAAACCCGAGCCAGATCATCACCCGATATGAACCCCGACATAGATGCGTACGAGGAGGAGGACCCTACACCATTCAGCCATAACATCCAATACGATAGCTTCCCCGACCGCTGGGTCCGCGACCAAACTCCGGTGACGGGGGCGGGCCTGCCACCAGTCCGAGAAAGCGCGCCATAGTGAGGAAGTCGGCGCAGTTGACCGACGCTCAGCCCACAACATAAGGAACGGACCTGGTTAACGCTCAGCCTCCTGTCCGGAGCGTGGAAGTCAAGGAGGAGAATGAAGACGTGGTCGTCGTCGAGATTCAACGGTCCGACAGTGCAGCCATCGACGGCTGAGACACCGACTCCGGCCACCATGAACAGTTCGACGAAGAACAGATCGCTGAAGGAGATCCCAGCCAGTAACGAGGCGTCCGACGAAGAGCAGCACAACGGAGACGACGAGTGCTTCAAAGATAGAGCCCGTGGCTGGATCGAATTCGCTGCCTCTTCCTAGGTGGTTTGGCGCTCGTGACAGCTTGATGGCCACAAGATCCTCCGAACAGAGCTTCCTACTTTCGTGGGTCGTTGACTATGTTGGTTATCGAGGCAGTATTTCTCCTACTTCGGGGGATTATGTCTGCTTGGGACCTCACATCCTTATCTTGCGCCGATGACTAGAATATCTATGTTCTTTTACTGATGGCTACCAATTCTCAGTTATTGCCGTCTCCTTCTCAAGCGATCATGTCGCCATGATTATCCGATTGCATCCCACTTGCATTTTCGTAGCGCAAGCGTCGTGCATCTCGACATCGGATGCTATTATAGTTTGCCATGCAAGGACTCCAACCGCATGCCCAGAAAGGCTGACATGAATCAGTAGGGTGGGCCGTCTGCGGTTGAATGCTTCGTCTACCACAGTAAGGATGTCAGGTCGTGTCTGCAGCATGACTTGGTACCTGAAAGGCTGTAGGTGCCTCCCATCAGAAGTCCCCCGCTTGCCAACAAACAACTAACGGCAATGGTTATCAACCTAGGTACCTTACCCGCCTGAGGTGAAGTTATTGGTATCGAGCTCTAGTTCCCCGGACTCCCCACTGCTCGTGCCTTACCTTACCCTCCATCAACGCACTCAACAACTGAGTTTGGTCCGAATTCAGGGGAAGAGATTTCGGACCAAGCTTTCCCTTCCCGGCTTACGCCTTCGCCTTCTGTGGCCCGTGATAAGCACCTCTTGCCCTTCGACATCCGACTGTTTTCTTCCCTTCTTCAACAGCTCGGCAGGTTCGCATTCTAGAGAGCCTTGGGTCGCTTCGAAACTCTGCTATCGCACTTCATATAAACACCACTCATCTGATCACCCCAATTGTTCGGCAAGATGTCCGGTAGAGATTTCACTTACAGAGGCCACGGTATCAACCGTGAGGTAAGATATACACTCCCGGTGTAGGGCAAGCCAGCAGATACTGACGCAACTATCACAGGGCAATCACTACTGCGCCCGCGACTACGGCAGCGATGCCGCCAACCCCAACTCGTACCACTATTCCAACCTGTAAGCCGGCCGCCCTTCTGATTTTTTACGTCACCATCATACCACAGGAGCTATACCACTGACGGAGAACGGGTTCAGCGACGGCTCGTACTACTACGCAAACCCCAACGGTAGCACCTACTTCAACAACGGTCG